TCAGTTCAGTGTTCAGTTGTTCACACTTCTTGTTCAGTGACTTGACTGTCCTCGTGTTGTGACTTCTCTTGTGTGAGTGACTCATACTTCACACAAGTTCATACTTCACACAAGTTCATACTTCACACTTCAGTGACTTCACTCACACACTCAGTTAAATTAAAAAAAGTAGTGTTATATATTTTAATAAAAAATCAAAAAGGTGGAATAGACACTCTGAGTCTCTGACAGACTGACAGTCTCTCAGAGTCAGACATTTGTAATACAGTTTAAATTGAAGACTTTGAGTCTTGAGGTCTCGTCAGTCGTCTCGGTCTCTCGGAGTCTCGATATACGTTTCCGTTCAACTTTATTTCATTTGTGGTCCTTTTTACGCTAATAGGTACAACTTTCGGGTCTAAATATTTAGATTTGTACCATGTTCACGATAAGAATCAGTCCTATAAAAGAACTTAGGTAGACCCTTCTGATCACAATATATCCGTTATAACGGTTTAAAATATAATAAATATGCGTTTACGTTCAGCTTCTATCCCGTACCCCCATAACGTTATGAGCTTAGGTCTCGTCTCCTGTGTGAGAACTGGCGTGAGCTCACTTATTTATTTAGCTATTTATCATTTGACATTTATACTCATCCTCCGGTAATTATCATCCAAAATATCCGAAATTGTAAATACTATTTTTTTACCATTTGTTTTAAAACAAAGTACTTTTTATTTTAAAAATCATATAAAAATAGAAGCAAGAAACATTGAATTAATCACCCATGTACATGATGTATCATCGGATGGAGCAGTAGAGCTCCAGGTATTTGTATCTTTTAAAAAATATATGCCAATGTACATAGGCAATAAAAATTATCCTTTTACCAATTTTTTCTCAAGGGTCTATTCAGGCTCTGGAGTCTCGACTCTCGAGTTTCGACAGTCGGCAGTTCGGCTTTACTGTTGGCAGGCCGCAGGGCCGCAGTCCCTCTCTCTTGTAATCGTTGCGGATTCGTAAATCGTTTGATTCGAATCGTGAATAACTCTTGACTCCTGATTCGGCGCTTTGTACTCGGGACCCAAAAGTCAGCAGACAAAAATAACCGATAACGTCAAATTTAAAATCGACAATACTGAATACTGTCAAAGCGAGGAGTCGAGGTCACAAAGGGCTTTACTAAACGTTAAATGTAAACGTATATAATTTATATGTAAACCAAGAGACCTAAGAACATAATTTTATATACATATATGTACAAAGTACAAACGGTAAACCGATATATATCATTTGTTTTTTTGGAAATTTTGTGCACAAATTTCGAGTGAGTAGTTGAGAGTACTTGAGACTTGAGTACTGTGCTCTGTGCAGTGTGAGATTGTGAGATGAACTGATTAAGAATATCAATATGTATTATGTACAGACTGACAGAGAGCCTGAGCCCGCCCTGGGGCCTGAGGTGACGAGGTCCCAACTCCCAAGAGACCGAAGAACACTTTTCTCCAATACGATCAGTCGACCATATCACTGATTAGTGATTTTACATACGTACGTCATACATAGTCTTTCCAAAAATGAGATAAAAGTAAAGGTCCCACTCCCCCGCGGGCCCGCCCACCTCTCCGACTCTCCCCCCGCCATAAACATTGTTTTTTTTTGTTTGTTTTTTTGTTTTTTTCAACGTAAACCAAAAACAAGACAACTAAAAAAACAGAAACAATTCAATTGATATGAGAAGTGTTTTATTTGATTTTCTCTATAAAATGTGAGAGAGGCCGTTCTTTTGCACCAGCAGTCTCTCTATTGATCTGGAAAGAGAGAGAGACGCACACACACGCGCACACACACGCGCACACACACACACACATACTATTGACTCTAGTATGTACACACATGTGTGTGTCTGTGAATGTGCGTGTATGTGTGTGCACACGTGCACAAGTATATATATATATATATATAAATATACATATATATATATGTGTGTGTGTGTGTATGTCTCTGTATGTGTGAGTATGTGTATGTCTATGTACGTGTATATTTATATGTATATGCATACGTATAGGTATATATATATATATATAATTATATTATTGTATATATATGTGTGTGTGTGTGTGTGTGTGTGTGTGTGTGCGTGTGTGCGTATATACATATCTATCTATATATATATATATATGTATATATATATATATATATATATATGCATACTTATATACATCAGAACCGCAATCACGCATGCCAATACGGGTCACCCAGTGTATGTGTATCGAAGGCTGTTGTATGTTTTTTTTAAATTAATGTTGCATTTATGCTAAACACGTATACATTGACACCTCATATGTACTGTGTGCATTGTTTGTTGCCGATATGTGTGTGCTTAACGTGTGTAAATTCTACCGAGTAGTTTATCTGTATTTAAATTTCAATCTTCTTACCGTGTGTAGTGTATATGTGCATGTGTATACATGTGTTTATCTGTTTATGTGTATACATGTATATTATATACATGTGTCTACATTGCATTTTTTTTCACGTGTATAGATGTTCATGCGAGTATGTATTTATGTTTATATGTGTGCGTAAATGTGGATATGTGATATATAT